CAACATATGCTCCCATCTAGATGTCATCTCTTTCAGGGAAGACCCTGCATTTTTCAACACGAAAAAGCCAGACCACATTCTGCAGCAATCACAACATCATTGCTACGTAGGAGAAGGATCCAGGTACTGAAATGGCCAGCCTACAGTCCACATCTTTCACCTATAGAGAACATTTGGCGCATCATAAAGAGGAAGGTGTGACAAAGAAGGCCCAAGACGATTGAACAGTTAGAGGCCTGTATTAGACATGAATGGGAGAGCATTCCTATTTCTAAACTTGAGGAACTGGTCTCCTCTGTCCCCATACGTCCGTTGAGTGTTGTAAGAAGAAGGGGGATGCCACACAGTGGTAAAAATGGACTTCTCCCAACTTTTTTGGGATTTGTTAACGCCATGAAATTTGGAAACAACAGATTTTTCCCTTAAAATTATACATTCTCTCAGTTTAAACTTTTGATCTGTCATTTGTGTTCTATTTTGAATAAAATATTAGATGTTGGCACCTCCACATCATTGCATTGTTTTTGCTCACAATTTGTTTAGTGTCCCAACTTTTTTGGAATCCGGTTTGTAGGAATAAGCTACAGTAAGCACAAAACACCTATACAATAACCTGTCACACACCCTGTGTATTTTGGTAGTTATGTGCAATATATATCATGTGCATTTTAGCTTATATTTCATTACTACCTTGAAAAACTTATTCACACAAATTCATTTTACTTCACCGTAAAAATTCTACAATGTTGTTGTTTACCATTTTTCTATTCAGAAACTTTGTAAATATTATAATAACTTTTTCACTTTTTGGTAGTTTATTTTGTACCCTTATTGCATGCTTTATTGTTTCTTGTTTGCTTGTTTTTTGTTTTTTTATCAAGTCAAATTGGTTCTTCTCATCCTGAGCATTTCATTGTGTTAACCTTACATATGACAAATAAACAGAACTTGAACTTAATAATACAAAGACATAATGCAAGAACTGTACGCCTAACAACAGCAGCACGAACATGAGTTTGTGTGAGCAGGTGGGCACGGATTAATATCATGTCATTTAAACAGCAGCATGAGATCAGATCAGCAGCATGGATAATCAGCAGCACATATCAACAGTCAAAGTGCCGATAACATGTGTAAAAGAAATTAAACTGCAGCTTTTTGACCTGGTGAGGTAGTCTGAACAAAAGTAATGTCCTGCATTTCTACATTCACATGTCAGGTTAAATCTGAAATCAAACACAGTGAAGTAGTTCACTTCCTTATGTTTGTATGTTTACCTATATTTTTATTCATCATAATCATTGTCCTTGTCTTTTTTTTGCGGCAGATTTTTCTTAAGGAAAATCAGCTGATCCACATGCTTGAGTAGACTGCGTTTTGTGGAAACAATATCTCCTGCAGTGCTGAAAACTCTCTCAGATGCCACACTGGTGGCCAGTATGCAGAGATACATTTTAGCCATAGATGACAGCAGTGGCAAGTCCTGTTGCTCTTTCCACCACTGTAGTGGGGGTTTTTTTCAGGGGCAAAGGATCATGCTCTCTGTACCTCTTGACTTCTTCATTGGCCTGGTCCCTCACAGATCTAGATGCCATCCTTACTTGAAAGTCTTCTCCCAACAGCTGGTCCAGGGCTGACATTTTCTTCTTTTTACAAGGAGGTTTATCATCGGAAATAGAAAACATTTACCATATATTACTGGCTATGTTTGCCATGAAGTTTTTTTAATTGACTACCATTTTATGTACAAATCTTCATTTGATGTTCAGAATTTATTTATGTAAGGACTTGTGTACATATGTAAAAGATGTATCATCATCATCATCATTATTATTCAACTCTTTCTTTGCATGCAGATCCTCTCATTATAGTGAATGTGTTTTATACTGATACTATGAGTCTGGGGTGCATCAATGCAGATGTCCGGATCTCCATTTGCAGGTTCAGTCTGACATGGATCAGTCTGCACTGGACCTCTCTGAACTGAACCCCCCGTTACCTAGAAATAAAACATGGAATTACATTTAGTGTACAATATGGTTAAATGCAGTGTAAAGAATCAAATAAAGAGTAGTCAGAATAAATCTAATGACAGCAACAAAACAGCAGACTGTAACTGAATGTACTGTAATATGTATTTTGACAGTGTGTTGGGGGATTTACCTTGTGATGCAGGGATGTTGCTTCTGCTGATATGCTTGTGAATGTCCTCTCTACGTCATGGTTACTGAGGAAGGGCAGGGACTTAAAACGGGGGTCCAGAGCTGCTGCAGTGTGGAAGAGATCTTCAAGGCCTGTGTAGCGGTTCTCCAAGTCATTCTTAAATGCCTGCTTCATCTCTCTGATTAACACTGACTCTTCATCTGATGGTTCAAAGTTCTTTTTAAGCTTTGCTTTTACAGGAAGAATCATTGAGAGTGTGGGTCGCTTGTCTTCAGACATGCTGGTAGTCACAAGTTTGACTGGCGCCATCAGTTTGACAATGTCTTCAATGTCGCAGAAGTCTTTGTCCTTGAGAGTATTCATCTCTTCTCCTTTTCTGAGGTCCCTGGACATGAGTACTGCAGAAATCGCAGGATGTTGCTCAAAAAAGCATTCAAGCATGTCGTGGGAGCTATTCCACTGCGTGGATACATCTTGGATGAGTTTGTGGGAAGGCAAGGCTAGTTGTTTCTATTTCTCTTGAAGAATTTCTGCTGCCCTCACACTATGATGAAAAAAGGCAACGGCTTTCCTCACTCTTCCCAGCAACCTTGCTACTGTGTCAACTTTAAAGGCTTTCTGTGTGGTGAGATTAATAGTGTGTGCAAAGCACATGAGGTGAGGGGTCATCTCTGCTTCCACTCCAGCTAATACCATGTTTGTGGCATTGTCTGTCACCAGGGCTGGATCTTTTTCAAGAAGGTTCCAGTCAAAACATGCCTGTTTTAGTAGAGCACCAATATTTTTCCCAGTGTGGGATCCTTTGAATGCCCTGGTTTGCAACACATGCACATTTAACTTCCAGTCTGGAGAGATGTAGTGGACAATGATGGTCACATAAGACTCAGTGGAGCATGATGTCCAGGCATCGGTTGTAACAGCAACTCGCTCTGCATGTGCCAATTCTTTTTCAACTTGGCTCTTCGCTTGGGCATACAACGCTGGCGTGCATGTGTTTGTGATATGCCACCGGGACGGAATCTTATATCTGGGCTCTAACGTATGAATCAAATCCTGAAATCCTTCCCCCTCCACTATATTGTATGGCCATAAGCCCTTAGCGATAAAACGGGTTATTGATGCCGTTATATCCTTAGCTCGTGATGAACTGTCGCCGAGTTGCCCGTAAAATTTAGTGATAACGTTACCCGTCGCTCTTTGTGTGGCAGCTGCCTGCTCCTGCTCGTTGTTATGGGGCTTGAGAAGTTCACCATACTCCTCTCTGTGTTTTCTCGTTGCATGTTGATCAAGGTTTGTTGTGCTACCAGTGTACTTCAGAGGTGCTCTGCATAGCTTACAAATAGCATGGTTTTTGTCGAGTTTTCCGTCCTTCTTGTAAAACCCAAAAACGTTCCACACTTTAGATTTTTGTCTGGCTGCTGTATTGAAAATCTTTCATGGTGACCCGCTAACGCTGCTACTATTTACTTCCATTCTCGTTGTCTTGGTGAGCTACCGAGCATGCGTGAGAATAGCTTTGCGGGCATTTCCGACTTTCGCGTTGTTTTAGAAACGCACTGTCAACCTAGCTAGTCTCGCGATACCCGGTCCATGTCTCTTCAACCGGTTCATCTCAGCATTTGTGGCTGGTTGCTGTCGATTTATACGGCTGCTACTGACACAACCATATCGCTAGCTTGTCAAACCAGATATCTGGTCGTATCGGTTTATCTATAACAACCCTAATATATATATATATATATATATATATATATATATATATATATATATATATATTTCCAATGAAAGTAAAGTGTGCCTTTCATTCGGAAATCAAGGTCCAAGTGTTTGGAGGAAGAAGGTGAGGAACAGAACCCATACAGCTTGAAGTCCAGTGTGAAATTTTCACAGTCAGTCATGATTTGGGGTGCAATGTCCGGTGCAGGTATTTGTAAACTCTGCTTTCTTAAATCCAAGATCACTGCAACAGTCTACCAGAATGTTTTAGTGCACTTCCTGATTCCTTCTGCTGAGGATCTATATGGAGATGCAGATTTTATCTTCCAGCAGGACCTGACCCCTGCCCATGCTGCCAGAAGCACCAAAACCTGGTTTGATGCCCATGCCGCAGTGCTTGACTGGCCAGCCAACTCGCCGGACCTAAACTCCATTGAGAATCTATGGAGTATTCTCAAGAGGAACATGAGGGGCACCAGACCCAAGAACAAAGAAGAGCTGACGGCAAGCATCAAGGAAATCTGGGCTTCAATATCTCCCAGGCAATACCACAGGCTGATTGCCTCAATGCCACGTCGCATCGAGTCAGTGATTAAGACAAAGGGATTCCCAACAAAGTATTGAAGATGGACATAAAAAATGAAAAAAAAGAGGGAAAAAAAGGGAAATAAAAATATTTAAAAAGGGGGAAAAAAGGAAGAAAGAAGATTGACATATCATTTTGAAAGTACCATATTTTGATAGATATTTTTTTTTGTATTGAACGTTGTTTTTTTTTTAACCAACAAATACTTGAAGTAGTTTTAATTGTGGGCCCTGAATCTATTATCTATTAAAGATTAACTTTTTGAATGGAATTCTGGAAGTTAAACAACTTTTCCATGATATTGAAATTTTTTGGAAAGGGTCTGTATGTGTGAAAATAAAGTTATAATTGTACCTGATTTTCATGTTTTCAGTGGTCCCTGCAGATGTTCAGCAGATGGTGCGGATTAAAGAAAAAGCTCCTGAAATATGGTTGCTTGGTGTGGACCAACAGGATCCAGAGACCCTCAACATAAAGGAGGAAGAGGAGGAACTGTGGCCCAGTCAAGAAGGAGAGCAGTTTTGTGTGAAAAAGGAGACTGATGACACCGGGTTTGCATTCACTGCTGTTCCTTTGAAGAGTGTGGAAGATGAAGAGAAACCTCTGTTTTTACAGCTTCATCAGCACCAAGTAAAAGGGGAAGATCTTACAACCAGCAGCTCAGCTGACCAGATGAAAGTAGCAACTGGTGGAGAGGACTGTGGAGGAGCAGAGACTACCAGGAACGCAGATCTAAATACTTATGAAGATGTTTGCAGCTCTTCAGAGACTGAAGTCAGTGAGGATGATGAAGGTGATGATGTGAATGACTCTGACTCTCAGCTAAAAGACTTATCAGACTCTGGGTCAGAATCTGACATTGGTGACAAAGACTGGAAGGAGGGCAGAGCTCCTGAGTCAGGCGTAAACACTGTCAACAAATCTTGCAGTTCCACTGAGCATGAGAAACAATTTCACAAGACAAGTCAGTCAGTGATGTCTTCAAGTTGTTTTGAAGTGAAGAAACCTGAAAACTCAATCAAGAAAAAACAGTCAAGACAGAACTCATTTAGTTGTGAAGACTGTGGAAAAAGATTTAACAGAAAGGGTAATCTAAAGAGACACATGATAATTCACACAGGACAGAAATTGTTTAGTTGTGAAAACTGTGGAAAAAGATTTAATATAAAGAGTAGTCTAAAGACACACATGGTAGTTCACTCTGGACAGAAAACATTTGTTTGTGATGTTTGTGGATGCAGGTTTGGACGAAAGTCAACTTTAAACAGACACATGATAGTCCACACAGGACAGAAAACATTTGTTTGTGATCTTTGTGGACACAGG